ATGTATGGTTGTGCGACTGTTGTCTACTTTTATTATTTGTATTTTGTCTTTTATATTCCCCCTTTTTTCCCCTTGAATTGTTCGCTGCCCTGAGTCCTCCCGGAGAAGGGCGGCATACAAATAATACAATGCAGTACAATACAATACAATACAATGGGGGGGGGGGATGATTATTTTAAAAGTAATGGAAGGCAAGAAAACAGATGAAAATAAACAATAAAATAAATAAATAAAATGACATAAGCAAGAGTTTATAGGAACTTACAGAAACAGATACTGACAGACGATCCTAGCGAAATTGCTAGAGGCACACTTGAAAAGTAACCAAATGAACATGTAATATTAGGTGAAATATTGGTAGTTTTAAGAACTAGTTTGTAAAGACAATTGGGTAGAAATCAGCAGGTCATGTATTTTAGTCTTGCCATAAGGCATGAAGCCAGCTGGGTGATTTTGGGGTCAGTGTCTCTTAGTCATAGAAAAAAAGGCAAGAGAAAATTACTGCTGAAAAGAAAAAGGAAAGGAATTAAAATAGATTCAAGGGTACAAAAAAAAGGCAATTCTAATTCTGTTGATGTAGTTTATAACTGTTGTGCAGACATGTTTTTCATGAACAAGCATCAGCCAAGGTTCTTCAAAAAGCACTTCTAGATACAGCAGCATCTTGCCTTTTTAATGCTGAGCCTGGTACACCCCAAAATTACAGAACTGGTCTTTTGGAGGGATTGTGGCTTTTTTTTGTTTTTTATATCTCCTCCTACATCATGAGAATCCTAAGGACATTTTCAAGAAGCACAGTACACGAAGTATTAAAAGATATTGCTTTTAATAATAGTGCATTGTGTGTTGTGGGAAAGCAAAAAAAAAATCTATGCATAAGCAGATGATTATTCTCATTAACAGTTCATTAAGAGATCATCTTGGGGTATTGTATACATCTGACAACATCTTGGAGCGAAATCATGAGCACATTCATTATCAGCTGCTGAAATGATAGGAACTTGGCTTCAATTTCATCCAACGTTCAACTCTTACAAAATCACCGACGTTAGCTGTTTGGGGATTGTAAGGTGTTCTGTCAGTGGACAGCCAAATAGAGTTTGCTGTATATGACACGTAATTGGATTGAGTTAGGAAATCTGTGGCGGGGGGGGGGGAATCTAATTTGAAGGGAGGTCTGTTACAGGGCAGAGGTGGCACAGAGGACATCACCAGATTATTTTAAGTTTGTGCTGTGGTCTTATTTATATTCAGGATCTATCCAATAGATAGATATCTCTTCCTAAGAATTGTCTAGATTCATATCATCGAAGGAGTTCTGTGTTTGTGATTTTACAAAATCACAACTGGTCTTTAAAAAAACGTAGTCCTGTTGCTTGTGTGACATAATTGATGCTACTACTTTGACAATGTTTAAAGAATGAGGCAGTAGACGGGGTCTAATACTACAGTTCCAAGAAATCAACATTTAATACAAATTATGTAACATATCTCCTGAAAGTATGCACTTTTGGGATTTCAAATGAAAATGCCGGAATATGGTCATATAGAATGTAGCCTTCCATCTCTAACAATTTACGGTACCTGTAAATTAATAGAGTGCAATCTCCCTGCATACACATACCTTGTTTATGTATATTTGAAAGGGACAAGAACGTAGAGGTGCACTTTTTGAAAAATGATATGCCACACGTGTATTTTGTATTTGGCTATGATTAAAAAAAAAATCTTAAGAAAATAAATATGAACTCTAGAAGGCGTCTGAATTACAATTCGATAGCAAAATCATATAGATTTAAAATGCCAGCAAGCATTGTGCTGTGGCAAAATAAAATAAAAATCTATATATCATCACCCGTTATGTTAAGATGTTTAAATTTAGTAGCTAGAGCAACGGGGTTGTACAGTGAGCCAGAACACACAGTTGTGTTTGATTGGTTGGAGAATGCTAGCTCCTGCGTGAGGTAATCTGCACTGTGATTGGTTGCTGTGAATGGGGAAGTGGAGTTTCCCTTTCCCCCCGCCTTTTTCTTCTCTGTGCCCTGTGTGCTCGATAATTTACCTCACAATGCTCCTGTTTGCCTGACTATCTTGTTTACTGTATACTATATAGATTAAGATATATTTCTTTATATAAAACTACAAGTTTGTGTCAGTGCCTGACTTCATTTGGACACCTGCTGTGCAATTCCCTGACATATTATTATCCCCATAATTTAAAATTTACATTTGAATGTTGTTGACGAATAACAATACTTTGTCCTTCTGCTTCATGGCTGTCATTCTTCACTCTGGTTTCCAGATCTTCCAAAAAGCATATTTGTTGTACATATTTGTTTTCTTTAAGCTCGTTATTGGATGTTTGTTTCTTAAAGCAGGTTTCTGGATTTATTTATTTTTTTAGTTGGTTACAGTAGTTATTTTTGGTTTATTGATTAAATGTACATTCCACCATACTCTCAATGACTCTAAGTGGTTTACATTATACATTACAACAACTCAAACATCCTCAGTACGTTTGAAACAAATATTGACTTCATAAAAACCCTAGTAAAGGCAGAAAATTATATTGACACTGATTTTAAGATATGGCAACTAGAATTCTACATCTTTTGCTTTAGTCCCTTCCTTCTAACTGTATTTGTGTTTCCTCTGTTTTTCCATAGGCCAAGGCTGCAAGCACAACGAAAGTTTGCTCAGTCTCAGCCCAACAGTCCCAGCACAACTCCAATAAAGATAGTTGAGCCATTATTACCCCCTCCAGCAACACAGATCTCTGACCTCTCCAAAAGGAAGCCTAAGACAGAAGATTTCCTTACGTTTCTCTGCCTTCGAGGTAAGATGTCTTTCTCCATCTTTGCCACCTAAATCAAGAGACAGACTCAGACTGTAAAGATTTCGAAATGTTATGAATTCATTAACATATATTCTACTTGATGGTTTCAGTGTTTATTTATGTAATTATTAGGATTATATTCTGCCCTTCCTAGGAGCTCAAAGCCCTATACAAAGCACTTCGTCCCCCAGTTTTCTCCTACTATTCAACTATGTTGGGTGGTATCCTGAAAAGGATATAACTATACAAGACTGGACTCAAATAAAGCAGAATCACAGGTTATTAGATTAAATGCACCTTTCACACCCATAGAGGCTGCATTTTTCTACGTGTTCATTTTCCCCCCTATGTTCAGGCAAATGTCTGAAATGAGGCTCTTGGACACAGTGTAAATTATGGTTAATTTGAAACCTGTCAGACCAGCAGCAACTATCTCATTCATAAATAAATCTCTTGTGCATGTTTCTGTGTTAGTTTATTTCTGCTGACAGTTCTATAAATGGCTTGTAGGCTTCAAATAGTATATTATTCCGAATTCTCACTATTTAAGCATTAGGCCAGGATTTGTTCTGTAAAGAGGACATAGCTGCTCAGATCCTTCTTCCCAAATAAGTATATCTATCATTATTTAAGTAGTTAAGTACAAACATGTCACTTTATTAATTGGAAATATTATCCCTACTGAAACAAAAAGTGCTTTATGGATTAAAGAAATTGATGCAATCATGTATATACTTTGAACACATGTTCTAACTTTGGTTTGTTAGTTCTTTAATTTATCTTTATATGGACTGTATTTATTTATTTCAGTATAATGTAGAAAACAAGTTTTATTTGGAGAACAGAACCTTTGCCCTATATTTCATTAAATTGAAGAAGCTTTGACATTTGCAGTTTGTTCAGAACATCATCCCTTTGTCACAAACAAATTGATTTAGAAAAGAAGAGATGGGGAGAGGAAATATTCCATAGAAAGAAATAGGAAGAAAGGTGTTTGCAGGACATAGAGAACTGCAAGAAAATCTCATCCTTCCACCTCCACCCACATTATGTTTCCACCCAATGAGTTTTCTGGAAATAACTGTAGGAAACTCCCCCAAACGTCCGTCCAACCTTTTCAATTTCTTTCACTTATAGTACAATTACTATGTATATGTCATACATGCAGTTATTTTTCTTAGAGGGGAAAAAAAATACCGGTTGTGTGAGATTTAGAGTTTAGGCAGGCAGTTCTCTGTTAGTTTGCCCTTTTTAAATCCTTCCTCTCCTCCCTGGCATTTTTCTTCCTATTGTGTTCCAAATCCATGTGTTTAAGGTAATCATATGTTTAGAATGCTTTGTGGGAAAACAATGGGTGGCGAAAAGGATGATGCTAGGTTTTGTTTAGTCTGCCTCTTTTTTTGCTTTGCTTCAGTGTTCTAAAGTCAGGTGGGTTCCAGAGGTTCCAAGGATATGAGCTGGTTTCAGCCTTAGCAACCACCAGATGTGCTTCCCAGGAATATTTATTAAGGGTGGAAGGGTCAAAAAAGTCAAGATACCAACTGTCATCATGGGATCAAAGCCCTAATTATTTTTACATGCATTGTGGCTTTGATATCATTGGCGTGGCCACCCCCCCCCCCCCGCCACAGATGACCCTCTGCTTAGGTGTCTGAAGGGGAAGGGCAAGAGTCAAATGACAAAAACAAGTATGTGCTGCAAAGACAGCAGCTTTACCCCTTTATAAATTTGCCATGACATCATACTCTAGTACAAAAGGAACAAATCTGAGAGACCGCCTCCTGCCGATTACCTCCCATAGACCGATTAGATCTCACAGGTTAGGTCTCCTCGGGATCCCACCCGCCAGCCAATGTCGGCTGGCGACCCCCCGGGGGAGAGCCTTCTCTGTTGCAGCTCCAGCCCTCTGGAATGATCTCCCCTTCGAGATCCGGACCCTTACTCCCCG